TAACAATAAGGTTATTTACTGCTACACGACATGTTTTACTCATATGAGGCCCTTTGAAACGGTATTTGAAGCCACTTTATATGCATTATAAAAGTATATGTTACGACTGTTGAAGTGTCAGAGGTTAACAAATGTGAAAGTACACTTTACAAACATCATTATTAGTTTGTCCAACTTCACTTAACTGGCTACCATGGTTAGGATGGCCATACAAAATGCTAACTATTATACTTTGTGTAAGTGGACAAGTCTTTGGTTACAATATCTACCAAACGTACTTTGAACCACTATTAATGAAGCAGTTTTAAATTGACGATATCAAAAAAGGTTAACTTTCGTCATTGAGCTAGGTTAGTTATTAACTTTAATAAACTGCCTGAAACTACAAATACACACTTACAGTAATAACACTAATTCCATTCAAATATAACATTTTAAGACATAAAACATGAGTACTTACGGTCAAAATGATTAAAAAGTAGCTAAATTATCCGGAAAGGATTCTTCTTCCACTACCGCTCAGCAACTGATCGTCTGAAGTTTTAAAGAGTCGAGTCACATGTCGGCGACGTACGTCATCACGTATTTCGACGTCTTACTGTACGTGATGATGCAGTATTACTATTACCGGTACTTTTCAGAACGAGTGATCAACAACACAAAAAATACACATACATTTTGATTTCTATGATAATTTTGGGCTTATTTTCACAGTTTAACCAAAAGTAGATAGAATTGTACAAATGTGAGCACATGTTTTACTACATTGCTCCTTCTAGCCGAAACACAAAGGATTTTCTACTAAAAGACACAGTAACAAATTATGAATTACAATTTTATTAATTCTAAAATGATAAGATTACTCAAATTAAATTACAACTGTAGCCTACAACCTTTATATTTTTGAATGATGATTCTTCTCTTGATCTACAGAAACATCAGAAAAGGGTGCTTTTCGCTGGTCTAACAGCAGCCAAAAAAATAATTGTAATACGATGGAAACCCCCACGACCTACTAATCTCAGAGCTGTCAATCGCTTCTGCTAATAAGGCTAGGGGGAAACATTAGAGGCTATTCAAAGAGCTGCTGATCTGGTAATATCATTCATGTAAATTATGATTGTACATATATGCACACCTTGGTGCAATTGTAGATTATTAGGAGTCAATCTCAATTCAGCTTAAACAGATGAAAGGTTAAGTGGAAAAAAAAAGGTATGAATGTATTTTATGTGGAGAAATTGTTATGCTATAATATAAATAATATATATAACATAATATATATGAACTCAGACGATTGCTAACAAACATCAGGTAGGATTTTCTGTGAAATGGCAAGATGGGTGGGAAGGGGGAGGGACGGGGTGGCATGGGAAAGGGAATCCCTATATTTCTTATTTTTTTCTTTTCTTTGTCTTTTCTTTTTGTATCATTGTCTATATATTGTCTATATAATTTGTATCTGTGTATATAAGTCCCTCTGTGAGGGCAAACAAACAACAATAAAAAGTTGGTCACAAAAAAAAAAAACTGTACAACCTTTATATCTCTCAAATAAATATGTATGTATGTTTTTTTTCTTCCCATAACATTTTAAAAGTTCACCAAATGTATAACCAATCAGTAGTTGGAGTTTTTTGTTGTGAAGGAAACTTCTAGATCCTTTTTGTGTTAGTGATAAACAGAAAACCAAACATGCTTTTGTTTTGAGTATTCGTGTCAGTTATATTATATATATATATATATATATATACTTGTTTTACGAGAGGAATTCCTTTTTCCAAGAAGCGATCCATTTCTTTTCCTTTACATGCCTGACTCATGACCTCAAATACGTGCAACTCAGCCTTTATCCAAACATGACTCAACCTGATGCTGACTCAGCGGTCATGTTACTCTTACTATAATAAAAGAAATTAAACTGATGATACAGACTTTGACATTTTAAACTGCTGATAAGAATTAGATCCTTTAAAGGGGACACAAGTGACGTCTAGAAAAGGCTATGGAAGCCCATTTCCACTAGTGAAAAGGAAAACTGAAAAAATAAGTCAAAATGATGAGATCAAATGTCACAATTGGGAGAAAAAAAACTGTGAAAAAAGGTTGAATAATAATAATAATCTGTTCTGGAGCTTTTGGTTGTAATATGAAATGTACAACCAAAAGCTCCTTAATTCTGGATTTTTTTTAAGACAATATGGGCAAGAAAAAATAGGAATTTGGACGGTTCAGTCCACAGAGGGACGTTTTGATCCCACTTCTTTTTCCCAAAGGTATGTTAGTTCGTTACATGCTGGCAGTAAACACTGGAAACTCCCGCCTGTGACTCAGCCGTCTCAAAAGCCTCACAGTCTTGTGTCACATTCAGGGTGGCGTTATCACAGCTGAATGGAGGAACGTTTATTTCCTGTTATCTTACGACACCAACAAGTGAAATACTCTTGGGTTTTGGATTTCTGAAGCACAAGGAAGATTTAAAAGAGGTTAAAGTGTTTTAACTGGCAGCATGTAAGCAATTAGAAATATTATATCAGCACTTTTTGACTTTTGAACACACCAATATAACTTTACACACCCTTTTAAACAACTGATAATGATTTACAGGAATGTTTTATACCATACTGAAGGTTATCAGATATTAACAACCCTAGTGTCTAGATTGGTATGATGTAAGTATTCAAGGCACCCTTCAAATGTTTTTTAATATATATATTTAATCTTTAAATATCCTTTTTATTTCCTATATTCACTCTTTCTACACAATACGGTTTTTATACACCTTACTGTTTTTCTATCTTTTTTTATGATTTAGGTGTATTTTGCTGCTTTTGTGAAGCACTTTTTAATGTGGATTTTGAAAGTGTATCTATACACAATGATAATAATGATTACTATTATTATTCGTAGTATATTAGATGCTGCTCTTTTAACCCAAAGATAAAAAAAAACACATTATAAAGCACACTATGGAGCATTTTGCATTTGAAAATTAACTTCTTCATTAGATCCTGTTGTTTCCAGAACAATGTTTTTGGCTTTAGAAAGAGGAAACAGTTATAAATATCTGTTTTTCACCACAAATGATTCAGACAGGAAATAACGTCAGAGGCAAAACTCACAGCATCACATCTTCTTTTAACAAATTAATAAAATAAAACAACAAACTTCAAGTAATCCCATCATCATCATCAGCAGAAAAATACAAAAGCAAAAGTCCAACCTCAGAGGAAACTCAGGTAGAAACCATTTAAAACTATAATAATTAAAAACAACAATAATGCCATCTTTTATGCCATTACCAGAACATAATCCAGAGGAAGGAGGTAAGGAAACGCCATGCATAAACTAACGCTGATGAGAGACGATTTAATACAACGTTTCTACTCGATGAGAAGCGTGTGTGCATGTCCTTCAGAGCTTTTGACTATTATATAGTCTCTTTGTAGGAAAGGTCAGGATTTCAGATACACACATTTTCTGTTTTATAATCTCCAGACACTCAGAGGAAGTCTCAGAGTGGGAGGGTGAAAGCGGTAGCCATCGTAGAAGTCCTTCGGCTTAAAACATTTGGGGATTTAACAAAGTTGGACAGGAAAACTCAAATGTATAATCTAAACATTTGGATTTGGTCAAAGAATTATCCATATGTGAAGCAGAATATCCCAAACATTGTTAAAAAGAAAAGCTGTAAGCCAAGAGTGCCATATGAGTTTTTTTATAATTGTGTAACTTTTAACACTGAATTTAATGTCACCCCAAAGCAAAACATTGTTTTTAATTTGAAAAGAAAACAATGTTTGACTTTGCCAGTTTATTAATATATTTGTTAGCAATTTTAGCTTTTTATTTGCTATAACAACGAGAAACTAATCAATTACTAGATTGAAATATGAAAATAAAATCTAATGTCTCGAAAAAATACTGAGGTTTATTTCTGGTTACTTGACTTTTTTTTATTTCGATTTTTTGTTTCCAAATTTGAGAAGCATTATCATTTCATTAGGAGGACTAACTATGTTGTCCGTTTATATTTAAAAGAGAAGAAAAACCTGTGTTAATAAGTTAATGATGAATCATTTTGACTTCTATAAACCTAAAAATACAACCTGAAAGGTGAATTCTTCATCATGGAAATATTAAAAAGGTTTTTTGAACATTTGACGTCTTCTGGAGCTTTTAGTCATAAGAAGGAAGTCCGGCAAATATATCTGAAAGCTCTGGAAGAAGTCTAATGAGTTGACTTTAAATTCAAAATAAAGCTTCCTTTCTGTGTGAAAGAAAACAGAAATAAATCAGTATAAAAACATCAAACAAAAGCAATCACTCGTAAAAAAAAGTCTTATTGAAAATGTGATTTCCCCATGTTGTTGTTCAATAATGTACATTAGGTTTAAAAGCCTTCAAACTTCTACGACGGCTACACTTGATACACTCACATACTTTGGAGAAAACAGCTCAAACTTTATATCTCAATTTAGTTTACAACAGGTTATATGAAAAGAAACCTAACAGGGCTGTTTTAAATCCATGGACATACTGTACATACATGCACACAAAATAAAAATAAAATAACAAGACAATCATTTACCCAACCAGCACTGAAGTCAAATTAAACATTCAATACTCCTCGGTGCTAAATGGTCAAAACATTAATGTAATGTAAACGATTAATATAGAAATGAAAAGAGACGTCAACTATTCATATTGCATTGAATATTTTCAGATCTTTTCTTTTCTTCTTGGATAAATGCTGCTGCACACACACACACACACACACCACACACACACACACACACACACACACACACACACACACACACACACACACACACACACACACACACACACACACACACACACACACACACACACACACACACACACACACACACACACACACACACACACACACACACACACACACACACACACACACACACACACACACACACACACACACACACACACACACACACACACACCCACACACACACACACACCACACACACACACACACACACACACACACACACACCACACACACACACACACACACACACAAGCTGCGTATGAAAGAGTTGTTGGGTCAAGGGCATAGTAAGAAAAGTTAAAATATTTGTGTTACTGCAGTGTTAGAGTCAGACGTCTTAAAATAGAAAAAATAATACATTATGTTTTAAGACACCATTAAAAAAAAAGGTTCCGTCCTCCATAATTAACAGCCTGCATTATGGGTAATTTAAACTTTTATGTTTTTTCCCCCTCCATACTGAGCCGATACAGGCTTAGTCTTATATTTCAGATTTCAATTTGTACCATCTGTGTCCAGACGTTCTGTAAACAAGGTTAACGGCATGGGGGGAGTTGTGTTCTTCCGGATTTAACTTTGTAGAATAAACCAGTAATTCCAAAACGTATCTATCTTATGATACAGATCAATATAAACTTGAAGCAGCTGTATAAACATGTTATTATTATTATTTAGGGGCCTGGAAATGTAAAATGTTTAAGTTTCAAGCACTTTAAAGGTTCCTAAACTCAAAATGAAGCATTTCCCTACCTTGTACGAACCCTAAGAATAAAGTTAGTATGCAACCAACATATATATATTTATGCTATATTCTTATTAAATGTGTGTATTTAACTAGTATTAATATCCCAAACATTGGACCACTGCCTGTACTTGTTTTGTTTCAGTATCTGAACGTTGGAAGCAAGATGCGATAAAAAATAAAGTGTCCTTCCATCTGAACTCAGACTAATGTGAGACAGTTGAAATAAGATTATTCTTTAATAACCTCATCAAAGTGTGGACCCTGGTATGCTGATGGAAACATTAAGATTACATCATTTGGTATGAAAGCAGAGATTTATGTGAAAAACAAACCACTGTGATAGTTTCTAGGAACATTAAATAGATATGACACTACATTACTGTAATGTCTTTGGCACACATAGGGTAAACATATATAAAACTGTAGTATTTATGTCATAACAGAAATATTTTGTAAATGTTTCATCAACACATTGAACCCATTCTTAAAATATGAAATTTCTTTTCACGAGTTCAGCTCACGGCGGCCGCTCAAAGTGCACTTACATCCTGAACCCTTAACGAGCAAACACTCAGTCAATCAACCAATCAGCACAACCAATAAATAGAATATGAATAAATAAATACAAATAAATATTTGACCGTTAAAATGTCCACTGCAGTGCTGCTGGGAGCTGAGGCAGTTCACTGTTCGTCTGCAGAGTCTGGTTTTTTTACGCTTTCTCTCCCAGATTCGTCTCCACTACGAGTGTGTGCAGAGTCCAGAGAGTGTGTGTGTGCCTCAGACAGCCGTCTCCAGGTCCTCGTGGTTGGCAGAAGGTGTGTGTTTTTGAGCGTTCAGGAAGCCGGCGAGCTCCGAGTCTCCCTCCGCCTGCTGGGCTGCCGTCTTCCCCTGGAGCGCACACACACACACACACACACACACACACACACACACACACACACACACACACACACACACACACACCACACACACACACACACACACACACACACACACACACACACACACACACACACACACACACACACACACACACACACACACACACACACACACACACACACACACACACACACACACACACACACACACACACACACACACACACACACACACACACACACACACACACACACACACACACACACACACACACACACACGGCCGCAAGCAACAATTATATCCCAATTAATAAACTTTTCAACAATATATATTTCCAGAATCCGAGTTGACATATTTCCATAACTTCATTTGTCTAACCAACAGTCCGAAATGTATGAACAGTTTCACTTTCACAAAGAGTTTCTGTCATTTAGAGGGCTGCACGATTTGGTTAAAAATAACTAATTGCGATTATTTTTGACTGATATTGCAATTGGGAATTAACGATAAAAGATGGAGGACAGACAAGAAAAAACATTAATGGATTATAAAACTTATTGTGAATTATTATCTATCCCGTCAAGTAATCAGTTCATGATTTGTAAATGTTATGCAGTCCTTAAAGCCCCTGTCACACTGTCCCGAAATTGACACCAGATGGACACACGATAAAGGAAATGTTCAAATTCGGCTCTGAACGCACACAAATCGTGTCATCTTCGTCTGATCATCGGTGCCATCGGGCATTTTTCGCCCCGATGATCAGACGAAGATGACACAATTTGACAAGATGCCCTCACGAGTGCCTTACGAAGGGCAAAATGGACACACGAATTCAACATGAAAATGAACCTTCGGCAATTTTTTGGCATACCAAAGATTTTGCCACCGCTCACGAAGTTGCTGCCGGAGCCTGAGAAACTCCACCGGCGGTCATACGATGGCTTAAGATGCCCTCACGAATGGCCCGATGTTGTTACGATCAGAACCGAATTTGAACATTTCCTTTATCGTGTGTCCATCTGGTTGTTTTATTGCACAACAAAATCATGTAAACATATTATGTAAATAACCCAATTTGTGTTCTGTGAAACTGAAAAGGATAGTACATTGTTTTTGTTACTTTCGTTGCAGTTGTATGTCTTAAATGTAATTTAGGTTAACTTCCTGTTTTATTTAGATGCTTTTATTTTGAAGGCGAGTTGACAGGAAGTTGTTGTTGCTATGGAAACAAACAACATGACGGAGAAAACTTAATATCTTCTACATATAAAGACGGAGAAAGAACAAAGTCTGAAAATAGCAGTACAGTATCATAGTACTTTAACATAATTGTTTTTGTTACTTTCGTTGCAGTTGTATTTCTTAAATGTAATGTAAATGTTGCCTTCGTGTGTGGTGCGGGGCCATCTTCGTGCGAAATTCACAATTCCATATTCGTGTGTCCATCTGGTGTCAATTTCGGGACAGTGTGACAGGGGCTTTCCTGAACAACAAACTACATAAAAGTATCTTACTTTTATTTATAATAGCTTCGAATTCACAACTTTTTACTTGTATTTCATTTTTATGTAATTAACTTTTCTATTATAGCTTATTAATTTTACAAAAATGTTCTTAGTTGCAAGTGAATTATTGTTATGTCCTTTATATACTGTACATATATTACTCTATAGTTTTCTTTTCTCTTTTAATCCTTATGCTTTTGTTATATTGTTATGTTATTTTATCTCTGGCAGAATCATTTCTTTGGGATTTATACAGTTTAACCTTGTAGTGAACCCAGAGCAAACACAAACACACTGCTCAGTTTTCTAAAGACAAAATATTCCTGTGTACAGATTAGGACGTGGCTCCCCCTGAGACACACCCTAGAAAGCTCCATGAACTTGTTTCTCTGTGAATCATTTTCATGTCCTGCTGCTCTCCTTCCTGACACGACTCAGCCGGACTTACGGGAAGTGTGTGTGTGTGTGTGTGTGTGTGTGTGTGTGTGTATGTGAGTGAGTGTGTTCACCTGGAAGTTGGTCTTCTCGAGCGACGCCCCAGCCTGCACCAGCAGTCTGCACACGGCGTGATGCTTCTCTGAGGCTGCTTTGTGCAAGGCAGTGTCTCCTCTGCACACACACACACACACACACACACACACACACACACACACACACACACACACACACACACACACACACACACACACACACACACACACACACACACACACACACACACACACACACACACACACACACACACCACACACACACACACACACACACACACACACACACACCACACACACACACACACACACACACACACACACACACACACACACACACACACACACACACACACACACACACAAGTTGTGAGCCGGGGCCTTATGTCACACACGTCATTGTGGTTGTTTTTATCAGGTTAAGACCACACTGACGTCAAACAGAAAGCAGATAACATACCTCAACAGAATTGAGGTATGTTAGCATGAAACGTCTCACACTTTAAGGGTATGTGGTTTTTTAACAGTTATAAGTATATTACTCTAACAGAATGAATCCTTAAGTAAAAACAATTTTTTAAATAAGTTACATACTTTTCTCTGTCCGTCAAATCCAGAAGCACCTTAGAGCCTGAAGAGGAAGAAGCAGGAGCAGTTTTGATGACAATGATCATTTACTGTATTAAATAAATACACATTTATCCATCTTAAAGTAATATTCCTAGAACCATGTCAAACTCATGATGGGCAGACAAGCATACAAATGGACGCAGCAGAATCACATCAGGTCTCTTTAATGGCAAACATTCGTCTTCCTTGTCAAAACCTGGCGCCTACATTACCCACAATGCCACTTGACGTCCAACAGTTTGGTTGGAGATTCAGATGTGTCTAAATAGGAGTGTCTAATGTAGCAATGAGCTTTAAAGATATAGTAAAGATGGGGAGCGGGCTACAGAGATACATTTTTCGAACGTCACATCTTCAGGTTTTGTTTTGTTATTTCTACTTATAGTTTTACATTTAGTGGCCTTACTTGAGGACTTTATACAGCTCTCTCTGGGGATATTAAAGCCTTTATATGACTTTTTTACATATGCAGTAGAACTCCCTTACACCGGGAAACAGACTTAAATAACAACATTTGTAAGGCTGTAATGGCTCTTTGTTTAGAGTATTAAACACGATTTTGATATCTGAAATACCCTAAAAAGCAGCTTAAAAATCATGTGTCACACTTCACTGCATCATGCACATCCTCACCCTGTTGCAGGATGAAGCTGACCAGCTCTGTGTGTCCGCTGTGAGACGCTATATGTAGCGCTGAGCATCCTACAGAGTCTCTGACCATCAGACTGACGCCCCGACGCACACACTCCGTCAGCTAGAGACACACACAGGAAACAGGTTAGGGTTTTAGAAGACAAGGGAAATACAGAGTGCTCACTATTACTCCACTTATTAGGATCATATATATAAAACATCTGAAAAAGAGATGAGAGGATTTATGCCAGATTTAGCTATTAGCTCATTTTGAGCTTGTTTAAAAAACGTTGGCATTTATGTATTTTCGTAATATATAGCATGGTTTACAAAGAGTTAATAAACCATGTAAATTCAAAGTATATCCTGTGTTTTCTTGAGCCTGCTTCCTGCACTGGTTCTTACAAATTGCTTTGGGCAATGCTTGCAAACACTGTTCAGAGATTTAAGGAAGTGGTTTAACAAAGGATGTTTGTCTGAGTGTTCAATGTCAGTTAAATGCAGCGGATGACAACAGGTTAAACTGGTTTATATATCAGCGGTGTGTGTGTGCGGTGTGTGTGTGTGTATGTGTGCGTGTGCGTGCGTGTGTGTGGTCTGAGGGATTACCATAGAAAGATCTCCTGTACTGGCAGCTGTGAGCAGGGCTGTAAACACACAGAAAGACAGAAACCATCATCATGACACTGCATAATAAGTCGATTTCCATGGAAACACTTGTCGATCTGCAAACATATTCCACTTTTGATAAACATATCTGCCTGTATGTTGAAAAACTGTCTGACTCTTTTTACAAACCTTAAGAAAAGGGAACAAAAAGGATAATAAAATGATTATATTATCCTCTCTGTTGGGACTCTTGAACTCTTGACTTTGAACTTTCAGTTTCACTTCCTTACAAATGCAAAGTCTGTCAGGGAATTGTCCAGACAGGTGACAGTCAAACATATTTCCATGTAGCAGAATATTTTATCTCTGGAGCCATTAAACCGCTCTAAAAACCACAGTTAAAAAAAAGACTTAACGACAAATGAACCCGAATGCCTGCCTTAAAGGGTTAGACTCGTTTTATACACCAGGATTTATAAGTGATTCTTAGGGAGGTAAAGGCACCAAAAAACGTTTGATCACATTCAACTAAAACAATGTGCCACAACAACAGTGATTTTGAGGTTTTAACGTCACGTATGTAATTTTATAAGAAAATGTTGTTTCTGTCAAACATGTCTCTGGAAATGATATGAAGACACAACAACAAACAAACTTGAGAACAAGAAAACAAGTCATTATTTGTTTAATCAATGAGCTCGGTGTTGTTGGAAGGGCAAGCAAAACTGAAAGTGGATACACATGAAACATGTTGGGACAAAGGGTTCAACAGACTGGAGAGTCCCAGGAATACAAATAACTTATTTCTCACATGACACCATAAATAACTTCCAACTTCTCCAGAACAAATCCCCAAGGAGTTTTATGGTTATAGTCATAACAAGCCTGAAAATGAGGAATAAGGGGCTGACAGCTGTTTTTTCTGAAAAGTTATTCAGGCTGAAACATTTCCTTTTTGTAATTTGCATCTGTAGATATCCTTTGGACATTACTTATAGATACAATTACACAGAAGTGGTTTATAGGAAGCTAAAATAAGGCATATTCCTGTCTTAAAGTACCAGAACAATATGAAAAATCATATTATTACAGGTTTCACTTTTAGTTTTGACAGGTGCTAAACTACAGCTACAAACTAGGTTTTATTCATTTTAATGTGTGTGTGTGTGTGTGTGTGTGTGTGTGTGTGTGTGTGTGTGTGTGTGTGTGTGTGTGTGTGTGTGTGTGTGTGTGTGTTTTACCTTGTTCATCTGATGTCAAGGAAAAACTAGAAAAAGAAATGACAAAGGGAATTCAATTGGGGTTCACTTATGTAGAAAACATGACAAGTGCAGCAAGTGGCCGTTTTTTACAAAATGTTGATAAATGATATAATCTTTAATATATACAGTATCTTCTGTTTGTGTGCTGACGTACCCAGAAGAGGGCTCCACCACCACATCAGGCATCCCCGTGGACGACCCCGGCCCCCCCAACGGGCCCTCGTGGTCCAGGATGAACACCTCGTCCTGACAGATCTCCGTCACAAAGTGGAGGTGCTCCTGCAAACACACATGCATCAAACACAGAGCATTGTGAACACATACGAGCAGGTGAAACATTGGTCATCAATCATAGCATTTTAAATCGGTTTTTACCTGAGCCTTGTCGATACGATAGAAGCGGTCAGTTGATGTGGCTGCAGAGCAGAGACATGCATGTAAACAGGAAGTACTTAACAAAGAAAAACTGTATATGTAAACAACTGTATAATTAGAAGAAGAAGAAGAAGAAGAGAAAAAAAAGACATCTGTGTGTAATCATATCACTAGATCAGCTGATTTGAGTTTGATAAATTAAGTAATAAAACAGGATTACATTGTGCCATAAGACAATAAATGACCCTTAATCGAGAGTAAGCAACAATAAAAGTTACTTAGTATCCTGGAAGATTTTCATATCTAGTTATGTATAAAATATTTTTCTATCAAGTTATATTATCTCTGCCACTAATCCTAATTATAATAATAAGTCACTCACAGTCCAAGAAGCTCCAGTGGGGAGAGAGTCTGCTCGTTGAACTTGTCCGCGGGACGCCTCGGACCTCATCCTGAACACAAACGGATCAGACTCATGAACTTCATCATCACTTCCAACTACAAACTGAATGTAGAGAAACATTTATATTTATGGCGGATTAATTAAAGAAAGCAAAAGAGAAACTTATTATTAAAACTTATTATTAAAGGTTATTTGTTGAGCAGCTGAACCATAAATACAGACAGAGACAATCACTATCATTAGTGTGTAGTGTTGAAATTATTTTCTAAATGTCCAGAAAGCTTTTCCCCCGGTGTGGTAGGACCAGACTCTACGCAACATGGGTGTCGGTCTGTACAAAATAAAAACTATTTATTGTTTTAATCAGTTTTTTTAGGGGAATTCCTTTGTCTGTATGGATATGCCAACATCACAAAACATATCATCACTATCATAAACGATCATATCATATACAAATGTGATTAGTTCATGAAATTATTATATCTTTTAAAAAAGATAATGTTCTTATTTGTATCATACTGTGTTTACTGTGTGTATTTCTTTGTTTCTTAAATTACGCATATATATTTTATTTATCAAAAGTATTTTCTACCTAACTTAATTGTCTATCTTCCATGGTTTAAATGTGTCACATTTATATGTATGTATGTGTTGTAAAGCTACAGCTCTAGTATAATATACAAAGATATCATATAATCTTGGACATTGAAAACAAATATTTTAAGATAACTGTCAAAATCCTTGACATTTTGACCCAGATTTGAGGTATTGTAAACATTCCTATTGATGGTGTGGGGGAAACCTCTGAAGTAATAGGAGTCAGGATGGAGAGCTGGAGCTTTGATGGCAAACACTGGTGGTTTATTTGGAGCTTCGGCCGGAGAATTAACAAGACATGTCATAGGGGCACGTGGTCTGACCACACGGTAGAGATGCCACAATCAATTCTGAAGAACCCTCCTGTAGCTCCAGGTTTTAACTAGTTCACAGTGTAATAATCAACATTCTTCAATAGATAGACTAAACAGTTGAGGACACTGAATCACATTTGTTGTCGCTTATGGCTCGAGGTCATCTACACCCCGAGAAGGATGTGTTCCAGGTGTCCCACAACAATAACTATCTCTGACCGACAGTTGCCCGGTCACAAACTGGTAACAACAACAACTTGCTAGGGCAGCCCCTCCTTAAGGGAGATAACGGCTGCTCAAGGTTGGAGCATCTGGGTGAGAGGGTGAAAGAGGACACTAGATGGCATTTTATATACGAAGCCAAAACTGATAATAACCCAGTTTTTACAGCAAAAAGAGACTAGAAGGGATGTACCTGATAGTGCACTCTGTGGCCAGTAGATGGCGCCTGGTGTAAATCCTATAATCCACAGCACACACGTTTCAAGGTTAACAACAAACTTCAAATGAAACACACACAGAGGTTAGCTCGTTATTGACACACAGCTAGAGAGCGGCTCAGCATTCCCAGCGATTATCCGTCTATAAACAATATGCATCATGAAATAATAATGTTGAGGAAACAGAACAGAAGTTAAAGTGATGATGAGCATTGATGAAGATTAAAGGGGAAACTTGCCTCCTGTAATCGGTCGATATAGAGTCTGCATGTCTCCAGGTCACAGTCCCCCCTCACCACCACTATGCCTACAGGGATGGCTGCCATACAAAAACACACTTTAAAATATGATGCATTGAAAAAAAGAGTTTTCTTGGCTGCATTTATTGACATTATAAAAGACTAACATGGTGAAGCCAACAGGTGCTTGTTCACACATTCAGCAGTTACAAAGCAACATGATCAATCATTTATCCAATAACTAAACTATAATATTTTATTATTTTATTTTAGGACATCTTTACTTTCAATTATTATGTTTATATAATATATTTTTGTATTGAATTTTATTTCACCTTTTATTCTTACTTCTTATTTTTCTATAAATATGTAATGGAACCACTGTCGCAAAGCTCAATTTCACCCGGGGTGAATAAAGAATTTCTGATTCAGATTTTAAAGTCATGTTGGTGTCCGCCTGTTGAATGTATTTCCAATATTCTCTTTCATTACCTACTTACTCTTTAATGTTTTTAATTGCTAAATGCTTCACTATGTTTATTAGCTCGTCTCTTACAGTACTCGGTATATCTGCAGTTTGCTGATAAACAGGCTGAGAGCAGTGAGAGTGAATGAAAACGCCATCATTCTGGGCTGGAAAACCAAAACAATGAGCTGAGAGGCACAAATTACATAATCATTGTGAGTCGTCATGTGATTTAAAATAAAAAAAATTATTATAGCCACCTAAAAGATCCTTACATATGTCTCGTAGCCGGTCTTTGTCGTACTGCAGTCGGTCGTACTCCTGGAGGCTCACCCGATTCACTCTGAGACGCAGGCGATCTGGAACTGAGTGGGGGCTGCAAAAAAACACACAATGTACACGTTCACACCCACAAATTCAGACAAACAAACAATGATATGGACACATGCACACATGCACGCACAGACACATACTGTATACACACACGCATCACAGACCAAACCTTGCTGCTTTTGCAACCTTTTACATATTTTTTACGTGAAAGTTTGGAACTGAACCAAGGTTTTAAAGTCTACTAAGTTATAAATGGAGGTTTAAGATAAGATAAAATAAGATAAAATAAGATAATCTTTATTAATCCCCGTGGGGAAATTCAGTCGTTTACCAGCAACAGGGTAAGATTGAAAAACAGGACAGCACAGATTCACACAGATTAATACAATTAAGGTTTAAATCAAAGATAAAAAAATGGTAAATAACTATAAAAAAAGTTTGTAAAAAGTATTCAAAGTTATAAACGATCCCCAGAGCTGTCAAGATGTGCAGCTCGGCTATCCTCCTGAAACACATTTTTAAGTCAATGGTATGGGTAATAATACTTTAAAATAAGTGTTAAAAATTGATGCCAAAAACATGATGTATGATCAAAAGCTTCAACTCCTACCTGCAGAGGAACAGAAATGTTTCAAAATAAAGTGCATTGAGGTCACTTTTGTTCTTTTCATTCACAGTGGAAGCAATATTAAGAAAGTAGCTTTTCAGGGGAGGGCGTGGACATTAAGAGAGAGCAAAGGAGCGGTGCGGGTAAACAAAGCTCAGGGAGAAGTTCAAGGTAAAGGGACTACAGCGAGAAAAACATCAAGACAAGAAGCAGAAGCAAATTTAAAAGTGGCTTCAGCACGCTGCCATACACTCGTCTCTGTCAGTCGGCAAATAACCAAAACTCACATTCAACACAATACGATGCAACCTGGGTTCAATCAATAAGAGATTTGAAATCCAACACAAGTTTGTCGAGGCTGATGCTGAAAATAGTGTTTTCTCTGAGTCAGTATTCAACACCTTTATCGTTCGTATGGGTTGTACAAAAAACTAAAAACAATTGTTAATTTTGGCATATTTTTGATGTTCTTCATCATTCAAAAAGTGGGTTTATTATCGGAAATGAAAGTAAATTGAGGGTAGAATGTAGATTGATTAAACAAAGTGTCGTCAATCTGCATGGTATGAGTGATTGAATACATGGACTGGTTTAGGTATCCTCAAATATTGTTTGAACCCAAACGAACAAACGCTGACAGAAACAGCATCGAATCAGTCAGTGACACGAAACAGACAGTGACAGAGGGTCTCAGGTACTTACACAGAGAAGGAGTCTGGGGGAGCAGAGAGGCGGCGCAGATCAGCTGCACACACCTTCTGAATACTACAGCCGCACACACACACACACACACACACACACACACACACACACACAAAAACACACACCGAGGAGAGGAGAAACGTATGGCAGAGAGGAGACGAGGAGGAGGAGAGAGGTGAGCAGTGGAGGGGAAGAGAGAAAAGAGGAGATAAGGAAATGAGAGGAAGGAAGAAGAGAGAGAGGACACAAGGAAACAAGAGCGAAGACAGGAGAGGAGACAAGTGAGAAAATGCAAAATATAGGCGAAAAGGGAAAGGAGTAGGGGGGAAGAAATGAATCAAACAAGAGCAGAGGAAGGGGAAAAAGAAAGAGAGAAGGTAAACAAATGAAAACAATAAGTAATCATAAAGTTTTGTGTTGATAAAAAGGAAGGGGAGGAGGAGGGGATGAGAAAAGCCCATCAGGTAAGTGGACAAACATGAAGAGCACAGAGAACAGGAGCTGCAGCCCGTCTCTTATCACTGCAGACCCACAGATATAACCGCTGAACATGGAGTGGGTTAGTCAACAGGGATTGAGAAGCGTTAGTAGATAGAGATAAGCTTTATTTTTACTCAGCCGCGAGTGTAAGTACATTTATTCAAGTCTCAAGCACAATTCTCACGCACGCATTTGATGCTACTTTTGACTTCTACTCCATTACATTTCAGAGGCAAATCCGCAGGTTTTTACTCCAAAACCTTGATTTTCTGTGTTCATTTTTACATCAAATATATATGATGCTGTGCCCTACTTCCCAGTAGTATGTCAAGGATCTGAAACTGGCTCCAACATTAAAATGCTCTTACTTGATAAATAATAAAACACTCTATAACAATAATTTCAGCATACTGATGTTTTAGATAGATAGATAGATAGATCGTACTTTATTGATCCCAAATTGGGAAATTGTTTTTGTTACAGCAGCATAAAAGGCATTTTACAATAAAACAAAATATACAAGAATAGAAATAAAATAAAATAAAATATAAAATAAAATATAAAATATACATGTCAAAATACAAAATAGAAAATATACATACAGATATTATATATATATATATATATATATATATACAAATATACAAATATATATATATTCAAAATATATGGAATTATGGAGTATTAAATATGAAACAGATTATGTGTGAGTAAAATGTACAAGGTGGTTTTATTTCTAGAGAAACTATGGAGCAGAGAGTTCTCTTCCAGCCAGAGGTGATTTGTTGTACAGTGTTATTGCAGTGGGCAGGAATGTTTTCCAGTATCTGTCCTTGAGACAGGGGAGCTGCAGCAGTCTGTTGGAGAAGGAGCTCCGTTGACTGTCCAGCTGCAGGTGGAGAGGATGGGTGGGGTTATCCATGATGGACAACAGCCTGTTCAGTGTCCTCCTCTCCACCACAGCTTCAAAGGGTTCCAGCTTGATGCCGATGACTGACCCAGCTTTCCTGATCAGTTTATTGATCCTGCAGGTGTCACCGGCTCTGATGCTGCCCCCCCAGCAGACCGCAGCAAAGAAGAGTGCACTAGCCACAACAGACTGATAGAAGATCTCCAGCATCTTACTGCATACGTTGAAGGATCTCAGCTTCCTCAGAAAATAGAGTCTGCTCATCCCCTTCTTGTACACAGCGTCAGTGTTGATCCTCCAGTTCAGCCCATTGTCTAAGTGCACTCCCAGGTACTTGTAGACCTCCACTGGATTTATGGATATATATAAGTAACAAATGCTGTGTTTTATCTTGTAGTTTGTCAATGCGGAACAAATACAAGTATACTTAAGGATAGATTAGTAGTAGAAAAATGCATCATATCATATGTTTAAAAATAGCACTTTTATATGATTGTGCAGTACTTTTACTTTGGAAACCTTTTGTCCATTTGGCTCATAATACTTTTATACAATCCACATATTAATTCAGGAATTGTAAATCTTACTTTTAATGGAGTATTTTTAGACTGTGTTTGTTCTACTTGTAGTAAGCACTTCTTCCAGCACTGCAGGCGACCACAATGCAGCTGCTTTCACCCTGAAATAAATCAATAAACGTCTCCTTCTTCTTCTTCTCAGCCGATAACCACACGGTATAACATGTCAGAGTGCGATTGGATATCTCCCCGGTGCTTTTGTTTTGATTAAATAGAACATAAAGATATCCATTTCCTGTGATTGTGGTTTGGCGGGCTGCAGGGAGACGTGGGACACGGAGAGGAGTGAATGTCTGCTCCCACTAAACAGATTGAGTGACTCACTCTGTGCAACCCGGGCTTTTACAACACTGCTGGCCTAGTTCCTGTGTGTGTGTGTGTGTGTGTGTGTGTGTGTGTGTGTGTGTGTGTGTGTGTGTGTGTGTGTGTGTGTGTGTGTGTGTGTGTGTGTGTGTGTGTGTGTGTGTGTGTGTGTGTGTGTGTGTGTGTGTGTGTGTGTGTGTGTGTGTGTGTGTGTGTGTGTGTGTGTGTGTGACTCACTCATTAAGCAGGGGCACAGAGGTGCGCCTCTTGCTCTTCTGCACCATGTTGGCCTGATTTCGGAGGGAGATTCGGAGCGTGGATGGAGCCAGTCGACACGGCTCACCGTCCACCTGCATGGACACACAGAGACCCAAAATAAAACTCAAAACTGTTTTAATGTCAGTGACACTACAATAATTAAAACAAACAAAATGCTTTTCCAGGAAATAAGGAGGTAAGAACATGATCTAAGGTCATTTGAGTTCAATGCGCGGGCTTCAATTCTAGCCTTCATCTTTTTAATTTGGCTTTAAATAATGGTTGACTTTACCGTTTTATTTTCTACTTTACCTATTGCTATTTTTTAACTTTTTGTTATTGTTTATTTTCAACAGATTGTTTTGTTAGGCTGCGTCTTTGCAAGAAATGTACCAAACAAATACCTTTTTATTAGTATTTTGTGAAGCAGAATTTAACAAAGCAGATTAGCTATGAGTACTTTATTTGATGGAAATCCTTTACTTCCTATTTCTAACCTTGATGTATGCCTGTGTAATTCATCTTAAAAGTAGTAATCAACTTTCTATAGCTAGAATCGGTGTATTATAAAACGGTAAATCCAGTCCCTCAACAGTGCTGTACATTAAGAGTCCTCACCTGAACAGGAACTGTTTTGAAGGTAGTGAGGACGACTTCTCTGCACTGATGCAATCTCTCTCCATGACCGCCGACCTGTAGCGCCGCCTGGTGGACGAGAGAGGTTCTTACAGTGAAGGTTATAATAACAGGAGGGTCGACAATCACATTGAAACATACACCAGTGTCACCGCCGCTTCAAACAGCTTTCAAATATTTATTTTCCCCCTCATATCCTCTCTTCATCTCACCAATGAGGCCATGGTGAAGCCAATAACCTCGATGCAGCCGTCGTCATGACGCTGCGGTTCAAAGTCCCGGTGGTCGCCTGTGTTTCCCCACGGCATGGTGCCAGCACAGTACCTACACACACACACACACATGTACAAACTGTTAAATATGGTACATCTAAATTCATAAAAACAACTTCTAAACCTAATGAATTTGTCGTGTAGTTTTTCACCCAGTATTATAGACATATGGTACATTCACTTACCTGGGAATGTTTAGAAACACAATGCACTGAAATTTCAGCTCCTGGATTTTAGGAGTTAGATCGGTACCATCACACTGTCAAACACAGGGAGAGAGAAAGAAGGAAAAGGAAGGAAAGTGAAAATTATAATTTGTGGTTGCAACCATCTGATTAGATGTGAAGGGGTTAGAAGTGATTGATAGAGGTCAAGGGTCATGCCCTAAAGTAGCTGTAGCAGAAACAAGGAATGCGAAGAATTATAGACCTGAGGCATAACGTTTAGTGCAAAACTTTAAAAAAGAATTGTCTGTAGTTAAGCATATTATTTAATGTACAGTAAAGTGAATTTAAATCTTTACTTAAATGTCTGCGATAAGTCTAGGAATATTTTATATTTGTACTTGTTGTTTGGTTTTCTTATTATATCAGCCTTATATAAGCTAATGTCAGCACTAGCATGACATTCAAACAGATATGTTATCAGCCCAATAAACTATCATATAAATGAAGTCAATTGCACAATTTTAGGTTTTGGATTGTTTACTGGGCAAAACAAATAATATAAATAAATGTGGCTTTGGAAATTTGAAATGGGCCCTCAAGTGGCCACCTGTCCAGATCTGCACATCCTTCTCTGATATTCTGATATCAAGAGAACAATCTAGTCATTAATGAATAGTTAGCCGCTGCTCTTATCATAGCATGGACGTCAGTGTGTGTTTATTCAACGTCCTGCTGAAGGACACTCGAGCATGGCAGATGTAAAAAGAGGAGTTGAAGGACGGACTTTTTAATCACCCGCCGACCTGCTGCCAAGACATGTCGACACGGAAAAAGATACACGCCGAGATAGAGAGGGAGTGTGTGTTAACACTCACCACCACTCTGACGTGCTTGGACAAATCCCTCGAGCTTCTCTGGAGGAAATCTGAGAACGCGGCCTGGACACACACAACCACACACACACACAGACAAACATGCACACACACATTAACAGAGAAAACAGAATCCAACTGAATTACAGTTCATTGCATTTCCCTCATTAAAAAGAGATAACTCCCCTTCATGCTTCCTCTCAAACTCCCACCCATCATTCATTCCTGAAATCTCTCAATCTTTACAGATTATATGCAGGTTTCAAAACGTTACATTTCAAATGATCTGTTCAACACTTTAGAAGTGAATTAGACAAATTATAAATATTGAGTTAAGTGAAGAAGGGGAGAGATGATATAGGGGCTTTCTGTATACATAATATATTATTTTCTTTATTATTATGTATTGTTTCATAGTTTGACATCACTATTATGATGTCATATAATAATCTTGTGTCTAAACAATTGTGACGATAATACGTATATTAAGAGTTTGCTATATGTTTACTATTTATTTTGTCTGTTACTTTTTAATTAATTTATTGTTTAAAATAAATCTAAATCTAAAACCAACATAAAAAAGAAGCTTGCATCTAATAACACATTTTTGGGGGAAAATCTACTAACTATAGAGTAGAATAAAAATGAGTAGATCTACTGTTCATCATAACTCTAAAATAACAAATAACTGCCATTGCATTGATGCAAGATAACACCATTTCATATTGTATTTAGGATTATAATTATTTAAGGCTGACAATAAGACTTAGAAACAGTTTATCTATGTTCCTTTCATCTGTATTTCCTTTGTCTTTTCCCCTTCATTCCCTCCAATCTTCCTCCTCAGTCATCAGTGAGTGCTTTAGGAAGAGAGACAGAGATAGCAGAGAAAACCAGAACAGTTTCTGAGAGTGAATGAGGGACACTCACTCCTGCATAGAACATCTTGTTGCGGAAGCGACTGTTAAACTTTTCTGGGTTGGCCTCTGGAAAGACACAATCAGAGAGGCAGAGAAGCAGAATACATTACATATTTTACAAAACAACAGACACATACAGTACGAATAAGAAAATCTGTCTCAATCTTGCATGCATGAATGCTCTGAATCTGTCCTTTTAAATATTTTATTCAATTCTGCTCTCTTTCAGTGGAGTGCAATGCATTAACGGGAATGAGGAGGACATAATGGGATATAAATAGAGTTAAAAAAAAGACATTAAAACAGATTTCACTGACCTCTGGACTCATGAAACTCCAGGGTGACATGAGCATCGAAGCCCAGGCTGAAGTAGTTGTTGAACACCTTCAGAGGCAGCTGAGGACAAAAATGTTTTAAGTGAGTGTGTTTGCATAAATATCACACAATGTATTCACATAGACAAATCATATTCGTTTTAACATGTTTATTAATATCGTACAGTACAACCCAAATCCTCATCATAATAACCATTCATAATGAGATATGTCCCTTTTTGACTTTTTGTGAGTTTATTAAAAAAATGTATCATACTAAAAAAGCGAGTTTGTGGAATGTAGGCAGGGTCATATATCGGTAATCAGTGTTTTTGGGCTGGCGATTGCTAGTTAAAAAAAAAATGTTTTTGGAAGCTGCTCTTGATTCATATTAAAAGGTGTGCAAAGGCAAATCTTTTATTGTGAGGCAGCTACATTACATTTAAGCAATAGCTCACGACAGGCCGTGGTATATGCTCATTATATCACAGCTAAGGGGCGTGGTTCGGCCCGACGCGAAGGCAGTTTGCTTTTCAGCCCAACTGTATACTGTTTTTCTCAGACGCGGAGGGATACTGACTAGTTGTGAAAAGTAACTTACAATTCTACCTGTGGTATACGATCAGTATATCACGGCTAAGAACCAATCACATTGCTTGATTTGACTTGTCCGTTTTATAATAAAAGTTAGCCAAATCACTGCTATTTCTTCAGTTTTAAATACTGCACTGAGGAATTGTATCATCATGTGCTGGTTAGATGGACTTCAGATAAAACACTATAAAAAACAGCACTGCAATTTGTCATCGCACCCTCATCTCCTGAAAACTGTTTTATTGAACTCTATTGAGTTGAATAAAATCGATCTTTACGGTCCAGCTTTTTCTCTATCTCCACAACATGATCTATTCACAGACTAACACCCTAAGCACCACGCTGACTGCTTACGTTCTGCGTGCCCTCCTCCGGCTGCGCAGCCCCTTTCTCCACCAGGAGGTTCCACCTGTCCAGCTGCACCACCGAACCGTCCTCCACGTGACACAGAACCTTGGACACCGGCTCGTCTGTGTAACCCTGTGGAGACAGAAATAAACAGACATCAGGAAGTAAATAGGGAGACAGGAAACTTGCATTACATATACAATAAGCAGTTACAGCATTGAGTCAGAGCAGTACAACTTGATATTTTGATTTATAGATGATGAAAAAAAAAGAGAAAAAGGAAAGAGGGGAATGTATGGCTGGTACAGGAAGAGCAGAGTGGTTTAGAGAATAGGAGAGAAATGTAAAAGATGAAGGGATGATGTTGTCTCTAGCTCAATTATGCCTTTTATACCTCTTTCTATAACACACCACACACACACACACACACACACACACACACACACACACACACACACACACACACACACACACACACACACACACACACACACACACACACACACACACACACACACACACACACACACACACACACACACACACACACACACACACACACACACACACACACACACACACACACCACACACCACACACACACCACACACACAGTAGGGAAACGATAGAGTGGAACAGAGAGAGAGCACGTAATGATTGTCTCTCAATAAGTGGTCTGCCTCACTGACACCCTGACCACCTTAAGAGCACACACCAAACCTCATGCATAAATAAAGGGATTTTACAGATAACACACACCTTCCTCCTCCCTTTCATCCGACTATCAAGCCTAGTCTCTCTGACCTCCGTCACATCAGGCATTCAAGCCTCGTCTCTCTAACTGACAGTATTTTGTCTTTTTCTCATTATTCTCTCCATCCCTTGTCTCTGTGTCGACTGCTTTTAGTTTCTGTCTCCCTCTGGACAGGGTCAGGAAATTAGTTCACTAAAGAGAGCAATGAGTCACACACACACACACACACACACACACACACACACACACACACACACACACACACACACACACACACACACACACACACACACACACACACACACACACAACACACACACACACACACACACACACACACACACACACACACACACACACACACACACACACACACACACACACACACACACACACACACACACACACACACACACGTACTCAGCAACTTACAGGTTCATTAACGCTCACACAGAGAGAGGTGTTGCAGGTGAGTAACACAGCTGAGTGTCAGTAAAAGGAGAGAGGAGGAAGAGGAAAGAAAAGGGTGGGAAGAAGAAAGGAAGCAAAAAAAGGAGCAAAGAAGGGATGGAAAGGAAAGGAGAAGGAATCAGAGGAAAGGAGAGGAGCGTGAAGGAGAGGAAAGGAATTGCAAGAAAAGGGAAGGGAAGGAAGGTTCATGGAAACAAAGAAAATCAGATGTAAGAAAATGAGTGGAGAGGAATTGAAGGAAAGGAATCCAAAGGAAAGGAGAAGAGGGTAGAGGAAAGCAAAGTGGATGAAAGGAATAAGGGATAAGTGAAGAGAGGGAACTAATTAAAAGCGAATGGCACGAAAAGAGAAAGAGTTTCAGGGAGCAAAGGAGAAGAGATGATAGGAAAGAAGAGGAGAGCAATTGAAAGGGATGGGAAAGGAAGGAAGGGGAAAAAAGGTCAGGAAAGGTATTAAAAAAGGAGAGGAAAGGGAAGGAAGAACAGAGACCAGGTGGAAACATCTCTCCAGTCAGAAACAATAGTGACAGAGAGGACAAAAAGGACACACTAATTACTCTGCAGTATGAACATAGATATGACTTTTCAGCTCCGTCTTGGTTCACAGCCTCTATCTCTCTCTGCATCAGGACTTATTTCTGCATTGTACTCCGGGAATCTCATTAAAGTCATTCCTGTGTCCTTGTTCATCATTCACTGTGCACAAACTGCTCCACGTGCCACATTAGGTGATACAAAACTACCAGCATTATTTTCTTTAAACTATGTTCATTTAATAAATACCCCAAGAAAATGTCATTTTTGTAAATGTTTGAGGTGTATAATCATTTTTCTAACTCTGTGTCATAATGAGGGTAAACTCAAAGTGGTTGGACAGACACTTAGATGGATGAAAAACTACAGGGAGGAGAAGCCCAGACGTCCTGCGGCTCAGGAGTCAAGGCGAGGAACTCACCCCGCCCCAGTTGAGCGTCCTGGCGAGGTCATTTCCTGTTCCCAGAGGAAGTACAGCGACCGGAGGCTGGGGGTTCATCTGCAGCTCATCGAGGGCGGACAGGATCCACCCCACCTACAAAAAGACACAGACAGAAAGTATGAGGTGCAGGGATTTAAAATTCAATAAATAGATATACATTATATTAGAATGAAAGAGCTAGCTTCTGAATACAGGAATTATTAATTACTATTTTATCCGTATTTCTTTAGGGTAACTGTCTGATTATAAGCTCTGAAATGAATTACTACAACTACTACTACTACTTGTCTTACCGTGCCGTCTCCTCCGCAGGCGAGGATCCTCAGATTTGGCACTTTGCGATACAACTCCAACCTGGTATTTCACACAAAGTGCACAAAGAAAGGAGATGACGAAGAATGAAAGATGATATTTCAGCAGAAGTGCTGATTGGTGTTAAAAGTGGGAGTAATTATCCAAGTTTTCATTGTGATAATAATGTGGTGTGAAATTAGGATTCAGACAGTTCTTTCTAGGTGCATACTTAAGAAAAGTGTGAATTGTTGTCTAGTTAAATAAAGTAGAGTAGATTTATGAGTAAAAACGTCTCACTGAAGAGTACTTACGCCTCTCGCAGCCCCCCCTGCGACAGGTCAAATACTTGTCGAGGGTTCAGGATCCACATGAACATCTGTAACACCTTGAAACCCTGCAGAGAGAAATTACAGTCAGGGGTTTCTATCTTACATGGGCAATAACTATTGTACAACCTTAAACACAAGACAATTGGCCCCCGATTTAATCCTGTTTTAATGAAGTAAACTCAGGTTATCTTGTAAAACTAAATAAATCAGCCACTGACACCCTGTTAAGATCTGTAAAGTGGAGGGGTGAATGAATAAAAGATCATTTCATTGAATATGATAATGTCATGATACTGATATCTGTTATATAACACTCTGTTTGAAATTCATGGTCACCTACTGTTTGACTCAAATGTGATTCAAATGATTTGTAAACATAGATGCAGAATAATACTGTCTGGATAACCAGGATACATATAAACTATGGGTTTATAAATAGTAAAAGTCTATTGTAATATTTTATTTATTTATAAATGTACATGAAATATATTACATTACAGCAAATTCCTTTTTATACTTATCCATTTCATAGCTTGAAGGTATCAAAATAGATATTACTAAAAATATGTCATCATTTTAAGTTCACCTGGTTTCCTCCACTCTTTGGATTGACAAAAACCAAGATGGGCTTCATGAGAGGGGAAGGGAGGGGCTTCAACATGAACGGGCGCCATTTAGACTCCTGAACAAAGCAAGACACAGATACAGAAAGAGTTAGGAAAAAGAAAGATGTGCAAAGTTTGAAAAATGTAATGAATCTGAACCTTTAAATACGTTTAAAAGCTAATAGAGTCTGTCATAGTGTTACTCACATCCAGTCCCTTCTTGCTTGTCCTTCGTTTGAAAGATGTCCGCTTTTTCCTCCTGGCCGAGTTCTTAAGCGAGCTCTAGGGTAAAAACACACGCACGCACACACACACACACACACACACACACACACACACACACACACACGCAATCACACACAGAGTTCAATGGTTAGTTCACTGTCACCATATCCGTTGTGATGGTAATTCAAATAGCATGTGATGTGAGTGAGAGAAATGCGTCTGAGCTTGTGTGTGTGTGTGAGTGAGTGTGAATCTATGAATTTCCTGAGACAGATCAGACATGTGTCAGCTCATATCACATCATAGACAGATTCACATACATACACACACACACACACGCACAGTTTTGTATAGGTTAAAATTTAGATTTCAGAAAAAATGACAGCCTGTAAGATTTATCAACCAGTGGACTGACTGGTGAGGGATGTCTGTAATGGGAGTCTGTGTGTGTGTGTGTACGTGTGTGTACGTGTGTGTGTGTACGTGTGTGTGTGTGTGTGTGTGTGTGTGTGTGTGTGTGTGTGTGTGTGTGTGTGTGTGTGTGTGTGTGTGTGTGTGTGTGTGTGCACCTGTGGTTTCCTGACTTTGATGATCCAGGAGGGGGGTACTATGACTCCGGCGTGGGCCCCCAGTGAACACGGCTCTTCGATCTGATGCAGCATAAAACACGTCACCTTATTGTGGAACTACAATAAAAAGAAAAACACTCACTCATTAAACTTCCAGTAGTTCTGTACATTTAAGATGTAAGTGTATTTAAAGTAACTAAACACTATTTTCTATTTCTAATTGTACTATATCATATTTTTCACACTTCATATTTAAGTAAAATGTTCTTGACAATGCAATTATTTAACCAAATGTATGGATATTCTTTAATCTACAGTGAATAATAATACAGAGGATGATTAACTTACCGCCTGTTTACACCAGGAACAACTGATTGCGATTATTTCTTTACTGTGGAAGAACTTCTGTTGAAAACTCTGCAGGAACAGACAGAAAAACACTCAAGTAAGTCTGTATAAACAATTATAACTGTAAACAACGTTTGTGTGTGTGTGTGTGTGTGTGTGTGTGTGTGTGTGTGTGTGTGTGTGTGTGTGTTACCTTTCCACACTGTCTACATTTCCCCTCCTGTCTCCGCCTGTGAACCCAGTGATGTCTCAGTATGCCCTGCTGTCAGAGGGAGAAATGATAATCACGATTACTGCTCACACAAAGTGTAGATAGGATATATTTTCTACTATCACATGTATAGAGTCACACATATGCAGTATTCACACACACACACACACACACACACACACACACACACACACACACACACACACACACACACACACACACACACACACACACACACACACACACACACACACACACACACACACACACACACACACACACACACACACACACACACACACACACACACACACACACACACACACACACACACACACACACACACACACACACACACACACTTACATCTCGGAGGCACCGGGATCCACCCTCTCTGTAGGTTGGCTTACATCTAAAGTTAATCTAGAAAGCAATGTAGACAAAATTAAACAAATAAAACATTAAATATTGACACACAACACCCAAATAAATGAGTTTTATAAAAAAGAAAGAAATTGAGTACCAGTATGGCATAATAGAATTAAACAGCTGAATTACAGTCAGTAAAAAAAGATCTGTAGCTGAGGCCTACATATTGATTGTGTGTGTGTGTGTGTGTGTGTGTGTGTGTGTGTGTGTGTGTGTGTGTGTGTGTGTGTGTGTGTGTCTCATACCTTTTCTAGTTGCTCTATGCAGCCCGAGTGAACTACAATCTTACAGGCAGCACATTTCTTCCTGGGGGCCGACTTCTTAAGGAGAAAACACACACACAGCACAGAGGTCGGTGAGATACAAAGACAACACACACACACACACAACATACAATAATATGAGTTCAACTGTACAGAACTACCAGGTTTTCACAAAATCAACATACTGCTCAATAAATACAAGCTTAGAATTGTTCAATACAGCCCTAAATGCTTACTTATTGATATCATCATTGGTGAAAAACATACTATATTAGAATAAACATGGCTATGAAAAGAATAAATATGCAGATGTCTCAGAGATTAATCCTGACATTTATCACAGTGTGACCGGCGATGAAGGATAATCATCCAACATTAAGGATGCCAAAGAGCTGTTTGCCATTAATAAATCATTTTGCCCTGCTGCCCTTCCTCTCACGACTGACTACTGATTATGGGTAAATAATAAGATGGCTGATAATGGAGTAGTCTCAACTCCAGTGTTAAGTGTCAGTGAGCCACACTACTCTCAAATGTTAAAGGACAGCCTTTCACTCTCAATACTTATTAGTTAGCAGTTCTCAATGTTCTCGCATTGTAAAAGTCCCAGCACAAAACCACTCTTTTAACAAGAAATACATCGCGCTAAGGAAGCACGATGTTCTTCATCAAGATGCTGCTGATAACATGAAATGATGAGTTCATTGCAAAAGCGCCAATTGGAGGAAGTTCTTTACCACATAGTTTCTTAAAAGTCATTTAAGTCTTTAAAGGCTAACATTTTTAAGAAAAAATAAGTATGACACATTACATAATTACCGCAAGGACCAATGTTTTAGTGGTTTGGCTCTGTACTCTTACAGTTCAATAAGATAGAATAGGCCTCTGTTGATTAATTTTGAAATATAGCAGTCTCAGAGGATGTCAGTCACGACACTAGCGATATTTTATCTAATATACTCAAAACCGCTGAAACTGTGGGAGAACATTAACTCAAATACTTTATTTGTTCAACCAGGCAGATACAAACATGGATGCCTGTCCTCTCTGAGTGCCCTTCTAGTTTAAATAAATCTTTCATGCTCAAAGAGGTGAAATGTATCATCCCTGAGATTATCACATGTCATGTTTGGTCTGAAAGCATAATCAATTCAGTTTACCCCCACATAGCAGAGAAAGAAGCAGCACATTTCTACATTTGAGAAGCTGGATTTGGGAAGGTTTGACATTTTTTCTGACAATAAAACCAAGGATTAATACAGATTATTCAAAATGGTGGCAGTAGCAGGAGAATGCACTGTTAATTAAATACTGAATTTATGGAACAGTCACTTCAACTCTGTAATGTCCCACTTTGGATGGAAGTTGGCTTCAATCAAGTTTTCACCTCGGTTGTTTCTCTCACAATCATTGATTTGACATTTCACCATTTTGCAAGGTAATATTGCTTTGTTAAAAATACAGCAATAGATAACAGATGGATTAACAACCTTCGCCAGATCTTTCGCTTATGCTTCACAAATGTTCAAGAATTGTTGGACTTGCCCTTTTCACCGACAGTACACCTGACGGTAAATGCATACAAGCTCGCAAGGCAACTCTAAAATGACTCCTGAAGCTATTTTCTATAGCATGAATCTGAAACTGATTTTCAGTACTGCGTTCTTCCATAATGACAGAGACTGAGTCAGAGCTATTATGTCGCCCATGACTTGTCAAAGCAATCTAACCGAGGTCACTTCTTCACTCTTTTTAAGTATCTGAAAGAGCTGATGGAATATGTATCTAAGCAAACACACAAGTGACAATATAGATTATAGTGAATGGATTTTGCTGCATCTCCATCTAACTGGCAGCAGCCTCACCATGTTCTCCTGCACTCATTGTACTGTAATTACACACCATCAGTGGAAATGTCCAGATATGTCATTATATGATTGTCCATATTAAAAGGTTATTTCTCAGCACTGGAATCAAAGTGCTATTTTTCTTTGTAGGAGGTGGCTGGATTTATAATACCTGTAATTTAAACACGTTAACAGTTTATCCACCGCTTAAAGGTTCACTTTCTCCGTTTTCTGAGAAATTTACTCTCGAGTTTACAATACAATACGCTCCATTTCCTGAACACTGGGACTATATGTGCATGAACTGTGAGTGAGCATGTTTTTATGCATGTGGTTTTTGAAAATAAAAAAAAATTGTGCACATAGGAAAACCATTTATTCAAAATTATAATATGGATTTGATTCGATATGAATATTTGATTTGAGTATAGGTTATCTTATCGTTAGGTAAACACGACCACCTTTCGTCATTCATGTAAACATGACAACATTTCGAAATACTCTGTACAAGTGTATAGAAAGTCACCTCAATGAGTTATATCTTTTTATCTAATATTTTCTCATTATCAAAGTTGTTCTCCCTACATAAAAAGTCTATCAAGACTTATTTGTGTCTGCCACTGCTTTTTCCAAGTTTTGTTGAATTACTCACTAAGGTCTAAGAGGATACCGACAAACTACACACACACACACACACACACACACTGACGCACAAGTGGTCATTGTGTCCATCACTCACTGCGGTCTTAAGTAGGCAGGTGTCCTCTCCGAGATAACAGAGCTCTCCTGAACAACTCGTCTCCATCCACAGGTGATCCCCGTTCACTGCGTTCTCCTGCAGAGAGAGCCAGTAATGATATAATAACTCACATTATCTATCACTCAAGATGTTCACATTCAATTACAGCCATATGTACATGAAAAACGCTGCAGTGAAACGACGGTCAACAAGTGTGTCAAGCACATAATCACCGCTGCTGAGGAGGAGGGCAATTTAACAGTCTATGTTAATTTAGAGTGCTTATAAAAAGCACTACAGGAGCTGCTGATTCAAGTGCAAACACACTCCTATACGCATGTAATAATAATTCCTTACATTTATTATAGAGCTTTTCCAGATGCTCAAAGCACTTTACAAATACACATTACACACATATCATACATGTAACGGTCATGTACTGTGGACAATACCCACAGTACATATAGACAGGGTGAGTGTGTGTAGTGGTAAAAGGATGTCACTGGGTTCATTGTACAGCTTTCAGAAGGTGTGTGTTTCTTAGGCATTGTGTTTAAACAAAGATTTACATTATTATAGGGTTAGTAGACCCGTCTTAATATTACAAATATGTGCAGGAGGGGGAGGGGAAAGGGTACATTTTTAAATATTATTTTACACAATGATTGGGCTACCTAATCTTGTGGCATATGGCATTATGTCGGTTTGTAAAAAGAAACTGTTTCGTTATACTATTTATGTAAGAATGTAGAATATCCAGCAGTAAATATACTATCGTTATTAAATCAATAATACAGAGTCTGATTAAATTACTTGATCTCTGGGGTTAAAATCCTTTAGAAAATAGTGAGGAGGGTAGGGACAAAAAGGTGATCAAAATCATGCGATAATTACTGTGTTAAAAGGTGTTACTGTATGAGGTACAATATCATTATTTGCAACATTTTAAGCAGATGTAATATTGATGATTAGAGACAAAATGTGATTGTAAAGGAGGGTAAAGAGCTGCATTATATTTTTCTGATTTCACAGCCATAAGTATTGCCTTGCTACATTACATCAAACATCTGTCAATGGCTGGTCAGTGTGTAACAAAAAAACTAAACTAATCATTTAAGTTGACTATTAGGCCCCTAAATGAACCCATCAAGTTGTGGTAAATCAACACAATAATGAGTGATAACACACAATGATTATATATTAGTGTGTGTGTGTGTCGTGCAGAGAGCTAAAGGCCAGTGCTGACGTGTTGGAAGTGTCCCTGCAGACAAAGCCACGGGGGGACCTCAGATGTGGGGTTGTCTACTTACACCTGCTCATTAATAATACAGAATGTTTTCCTTAATACTCATTATTGATGTATGATTCACTAAGGTGCCCTACTTTACAGTATCATAGAGCGTAGCAAAAGAGAGACATTCATGTTTTTAAACTTGATTACACATGATGCAATTATAGCCATATTTTTGGAAGCTATTTCTGTGGCTAAAGCACAGTGTTTGTTTTCTTTCCTGAGCCGGTGTGCTCAAAAGTAAAGTAAAAACCTCCCTCCGTCACAGTTATTCTTTTCTTTGTTGAATCAGATAAAAATAGCAGCTTTTTTACAAAGTAGAGTGGCAGCAGTTATTTCTGCAAAGACTATCATTAAATCAGTTCTAACAGATTCTTACATTGTTTTCGTGATGATTTAAGACAAAAGTGACTGAATATGGAAGGGGGGTTTTCTAAAAAAAATGCAGGATAATAAACAAATGTTTTGTGTTGTTTTACTAGAACATTTCTTTAAAGGTTGACGTCATTTCCTCCAAATTCTAGGCAATTCTAGGTAATTAAGCAGCTATTGACTTCAAGAACACAAAAGCTTGAATGTGTGCACATCTTCGTGAGGTGAAACAGCTTCACAAATGTCCTGTATTTATCGATGCCTTGTTCTCCATTGTAGTCTAATTTGTTAAGTTTCATGACTTATTTCAGACAACGTTACATATCAACTGGGCCTTTCCCTCAGCATTTGGTATTCGTTTCATTTCAATTCAGAAAGTGTTTTAAAACATCTCTGGAGCTTTGTGAGGCGTTATGTAAATGAAGCCTATTAACTTCTGCAAAATAAACCCAGCAAAAAAAAAATCACACCCTGGCATGTAAAACTTCCCCACGCTCAGTTATCAGGACATTTTCTAGTAATAATCAAAAACCCAAAAGCAAATTGCTGCTTTTCTTTTCCACATGAACAAACGGCTGTTGAAACCAATCTGCAAAACTATCTGTAGAAAAACCAAATGTCACTCATTCAGTGACTCAGCCCGGCAGAATAAGGCAAGCAGAGCCCGGGACAACTGTCTACTTTGTGCAGTATTAAAACATGTATTGATGTCATGTCTGCACGTGTAAAATGTAGCAAACATACATAATATGAACAGAATACACATAAACCTGAACAAGACAAATATACAAAGACAAATATGATGATTATTCATTTTCTATGATATAAATGCAGGTCTTACAGTCCAGTCCAGGGCGGTGCGCAGCTCTTTGTTGGGCCCGTTGGATGCGGGAGGCAGGGCGGGGTGGGGGGGGCCAAGGTGCTGGAGGCCTGAACGGGAGATGGCTTTCCTAAAAAACAAAGAAGATACTTTATTAACGATCGAAAGAAAAGGCTGTACAGAGAGGTGCGAAAAACCAGCGCTGTCATGGTTTGATTTTGACACAGAAGCTGAATCACCCATTTTTGGTATCATTTCGTATTAATTATTCATGGAATGAGACCACATTTGGGTGGGTTCAGCTGCAGATATTTGGTAGTGGGAACAGCTTGAAGCAGAGGCTGCCAGCATCACTCTGGGGTGACGGAGACGGATCTGACAGAGGATGAGTCAGCAGTCATCTCTCTCTCCATGTCTTTAACTCCTCTTTAAAACATCAGCCTCACATCACATTTTTTACTTTTCCCTGTTTTTTTTTAATAATGGGATTTATAATATTCTACACACTTTTACACGTTTGGAAAATTCAAACTTCCTGGATAAGAAGGCACAACTTCTATAGCTAACTGGACATTAGGGGAATTAATGAATGGATGCGGGTGTGTGTGTGTGTGTGTGTGTGTGTGTGTGTGTGTGTGTGTGTATCAGTGGAAAAGGTTGCACAGGAGTATCTGACCCTCCTGTTGAAAGTTTCAGTGGCCGTCTGTCTAAATGTATCAACAGGACAAAGAGGAGTCCACTTACACACACTGTAACCTGATGACACGCCCTGACACACACACACACCCTCACACATACACTTTGCTGCATGTACTTGCCCTCACGACTCTTGGGATATAAATAGTATTGCGTGGGTGACAGCAAAAACTGAAAGGATGTATGGTGACTGGACATATGCTACCTATAACAGGGGAACACACACACACACACACACACACACACACACACACACACACACACACACACACACACACACACACACACACACACACACACACACACACACACACACACACACACACACACACACACACACACACACACACACACACACACACACACACACACACACACACACACACACACACACACACACACAATCTTATGATAACAAGTCATTGTGATGAATGTTTATTTTTGGTGGGAGTAATGAAGGATGCCAGCAATTATTATTTTTACAATCAGCATTTTATTTTGGTCTTTTTTTGTATTTCCTTTAGGTTTGATCATTTATAATAACCGCTGAGACAAGAGGAATCGACAAACTGCGATCAACAAGTCCATTAAGGGAAGCGAGACGAGAAGTCAGAGGATCAGACGGCTTGTTAATAAACCCACCGTTTTTATTGAAACCTCTTTTTTGGAAGTAAAACCAAAAGCAGAAGGTGAATGTGCGAAGTTTACAGTAAGTCTGAAGATTATAGGGCAAACATGCTGAAAGTTAAAGTGATAAACTCCTGGGCTGAATAAATATATATACCGAAGTACAGTACTTGCGGGGTGAATATACTTTGGACAAGAGTGTACATGTGATTTTTGATGGAATATACCTTTAAAATCTACATTTAAACAGGAATGAAACAGATAGTAAAACGTTCTGATTCAGCATTTTCCTTGTGTCCTTCCTGTTGTGAGCACACAGTGGATTACTGAAAATGATATTTTAGTGTGGATCAAAACAACCAGTCGTATACCACTTTTCGAAAGCTGTCTCATCAAATTTGTGTCCAAAAAGAAAGACTTCTCTTCTGTAAAAAGCCGTAAAGTTAATATTACCCTTAATCATACTCACTTGTACAAAAGGGGGTCAAAACACTCTGTGCTAAAATAGTTTTCTATTGTGGTGTACTAGTTTGTTCCTCTTGACCTTGAAAGCTGATATGTGTTACCTTTCACATGTTTCTATTATGTTCATTAGGTTTAGGGTTAACCACTGCACTGTGAATCCTATTGTTGAAGTGCAACCGACTTAACAAAAATACAACCGAGGGTTTGTTTACAGCCTGTCTGAGCGCTGAGGATTATTTTTAACTGATTATTCTTCGTCAGATATGAATAAATACACTGTGTGTGTATTCATAGTGAAACAAGTGTGTACCTGTGTGTTGCCAACAGGCAGAGTGTGTAAGTAGGAGCTCCTAAAAAAAGACCCAGCAGTATTTGACGTAATCACCGCTAAAAGGTGAATGACACAGACACTCTTTTTTAGAGGTCATGGAGCAACGCTACATTTGAGTGTAATCTTCTAAAAGCAGACAGGATCACACGCATTAAAGCTCGCTTCCTAGATATAGAAACACAAAGACATCAGCAGTGTGAAGCTTTTCTGTGAGCCACACACACACACACACACACACACACACACACACACACACACACACACACACACACACACACACACACACACACACACACACACACACGCACACACACACGCACACGCACACGCACACGCACACGCACACACACACACACACACACACACGCACACGCAAGGCAATACATCAATCTAAACTTCTTATTGTTGTTTAAAAGCATTTAGATATGACAAAACAAAGCAAATCCCACCCACCACATAATTCTTTTTGGATCATTCTTTGTCGTGTTCAAGAAAAAGCACTCTCAAAAGAATGTGCGTCTTACATGCATAGAAAATGAAACAAAATGTGAATTACCGGAAGCAGAGAAAACAGAAAGACTGAGAAAGGGGATGCAGAGATTCTGTGACGTCTATGGAAAATTAAGCCAGTTACTAAATTAAAAAAGCCTGATTCATCAGAGATTCAAAAGATCCGCACCTTAACTCGAGGTGTTAAAATAAGCTGTTATCTGCACTGTATTAAGGTTTCCTAACCTCTAAATGAGCAGAATAGGTTACTTTTAAACTACAATGTTTCCGATATAGCTGCCAATTACATTTATTGGGGTAAAAGTACTGTATTTTTAAGTGCAAAACAGCACTAGTGAAATTCAAATAGAGATTTCAATCTAGAAACCACTCACCTATCAATCATGAGGGACAAACAATTACATTTTAAAATATGTTTACACATCCTGAAATGAATGGTGGATCCCTATACAGTATGTCACTTTCAAAAGTCCGGTAAGTGTGTTTAAGCAACAGAATACATGATCTCTCTCTACAGAGCTCCAAAGTCCACTTGTTTGTGTTTTTCTTGATCTGCCCTTTCTGGTTTGGATGCTGTGCTTACTCCTACTGAGACAGAGTCAAAGCCTGCGGTGAAAAGCTTCAACTGATCTCTGAATAGTGGAGTTCAAACACCACCTCCTCCCTCCTCACTCTCGCTTTCTTTCTCTCTCTCTCTCTTCCTCCCTCTCTTTATCTGTCCCTTTTCCCTTTACTGTCTCTAGAACTAATCTTCTTCCTCTTCCATTATCCTCCTCCTCTCCTCTGCTCTTTCTTTCTCAACCCCCCGTGTCTTCCCTCCTGTTCTTCTTCCTCCTCCTCCACCTCCTCTTCCTCTGCTATCGTCTTCTTTATTTCCTATTTTCTCTCTATTTATTTACTCCTCTTCTCCTCTTACTTTCTCATCATCCACCTTGTCTCCTCTCCTCTTCTCTTCCTCCTCCTCCTACACTCTCTTCCTCCTCCTTTGCTTTCGTCACCATCCTACACCTCCAATCTCCCTCTTTTAGCTTTGCTTCTCCTCTCCTCTGTTCTTCCTTTCTCATCCTCCCCCTTGTCTCCTATTCCCTTCCTCCTCCTCTTCCACTCATTCCCTTTATTCTCCTCCTCTTCCTTTTCTTCATCACCTTGTTGTCCTCTACAACACCATCCCACACCTCCAATCTCCATCTTTTCATGTTTTCTGCTCCTCTCCTCTCTCTTCCTCTTCTCCTTATTGTCTTCTACCCCTTGTCTCCTCTTCCTCCTCCTCTCCCAGCAGTGGTGGGTTTTCAACGTTGCCATGGCGACGGCACAGCGGGAGCGTCGGCAGCTCAGTAATTATATTGGTGGAGAATCTGCTCTCTGTGTGTGTGTGTGTGTGTGTGTGTGTGTGTGTGTGTGTTCGTGTGTGTGTTCGTGTGTGTGTTCGTGTGTGTGTGTGTGTGTGTGTGTGTGTAAATGTGTGTTTCAGAAACTTTTCCAGTAAAGTGTAAATGCAGTTACTTGGACCCAAGCCACATCACCCTATGTGTGATGACGGTGTGTATATCGACACACTTCACACACACAGGCAAACACACACATGCAGAATATATAACGTCTTCATTTCCCAGCCTACACACTCAGCATGATGTAATCTGTGTAATTCCTCCACTGTTTCCTGTATACAGATCCTGTGTAACCACGGGGGGGGGGGGGGTCAAAAGTTACTACAGTAGGAACTGTTTATGTATTCAGGTGATTAAGATGGAAAGAAACAAAGCGTCTCGCGGTGAGTAACAAGCCCACACTGGTGCGATCTTCTCTCCGCTCATTTAACCCGTTTCTATTTGCTCAGCGTGCCGCGCCACAGCTAGGCAACACCGCCCATGATTAATGATAAAGAAAGAACAAAAAGTAAAGAGCTGCACAAATGAAAAAGGCAGCTGCAAGTGGGAGGAATCAGATTTAACATCTTCTGACTGGTGGAGCAGAGGATGTTGTGATTATATGTGGGAAGAAGTTGGTTGACAAAAGAGACACAACTGCACCAGTGTGGGTTTAGTGTTAAACCGGTTTCTATGGGCACGAAAGTGTTTGTTCGAGGGAAATACAAAATAAAAAATCAGCAGAACAGAAGTTGAACTTTGATGCTTTCTTAAGCATTGTTTGGTTGAATGCACTGAGTGGGAAATGCGTCTTTCTTTATCCCAAATGATGCCGGTACAGTCAAATGCAACACAATTGAAGAGGTGTTTTTCGCTGCTTACTGTATAACTTTACGTGACTAAGACATTTTAAGTGATGGAGTTTTAAACACATAAGTATACGGACATCATTATGAGCTCCAGATCAACAGTATGTGCTTTAAGACAACCTTTCAGTGTAAAGAAATGATAATGTTCTAAAAACGATCATTTACCAATGTAAACAGAATGCTGGTCGTGCTACTGAGATAGGTAAGCAATAACAACTGAACATCTGAAAAAAAGTATTTGTTTGTCTATCAAGGGGCAATGTCA